CTTGACTCACGACAATTGTGTGAGGTAGATGTTATTAGTGTTGTTACTCTAAATCTGGAGTTCTTTACCCTGTCCCACTCTTTGAAGCAAACTCCTTTAAAAGTATGGAGAACAAGACCCTAAGCATCTTTGAGACCTTGGTAGGGGCCTGTTAGGGGAAAGAGTACAAGAGCGTGCCTGGAGGTGGGAGTCAACATAAAACTCATCATAAGAACTCAGGATAATAGAAAATTTGCTGGAGTTGCAGTCAAAAGACCTGCTTTTTTGAGTCTCAGCTCCAATCCATAGGCAAGTGCTTAAACCTCTTGAGTTTCAATTTTCTCCTCTGTAAAATAAGGGATAATAATCTTTGCATCAACAACTTCAGAGTTAGTATGGGGAAGGAGCTTTGTAAGCCCTAGAGCTATAGAAATAGGAGTCACTGGTATTACTCTGCAGCTGTCACCTAGGTCCCCACAGCTTCGGCCTCTCCTGCTCAGATACCTGAGCTCACCACGGAGCCCACAACAGAGCCCATCACATCTAAAGTCTCCTTTTGTTGTGGGAAACCAGGGCTTGCCACAGAGTCCAGGAGACCAGGAGAGCCCATCAGCAGGCTAGGAGCTGAGCAACATAACACCTAGAGGTCAGGGGAGAGGTCCTGGAAACTTCCCCAGAGTCACCGAAGGGCAGAAGAACCTGACCCAAGCTCATATAGGAAGAATGTGTTTCTCGTTGTGCAAGGAGCAAAGCTAAGGTCTCAGGAAGAGGTGTTTCTAACGCTTTGGGGGAAGGGAGGCAGAGTGTGTGACATCAGGTCCCACTGAGGGCAAAAGGCAGCAGCAGGAGGGCCAGGGGACAGACTTTAGACTTTCATCTCCATGGATACAAGAGTACGGTTAAGGGCTGAAACTGGATTATTAGACACATGTTCAGTAGACGAAATGAAATCTTTGGAGATGGCTGACATATTACAAAGCAAAAAACCAGCATTCATCCTGACCAGAAGTTAAGAGTCTTAACCATCATATCACTACCACCACCACCACCACCACCACCACCACCACCATCCCTCACTCTGTACCAGAGCTGCAGCAAGGGTAGGCAAACCAGGTTTTTGTCCAGGTGCTAAAATGGAAGTCCTACAGACAAAAGGACAGGGACAAAGAGTACTGCCCTGAACTTGGGAGTTCTTGTTGAGAGTAGACTCTTCAGAGGCCTGTCAGAACATCATTCTTGGGCAGAGAGGCAGCCTAGCTTCTTGGAAACCAGGGGCTAGCTAAGCAGAAGGCTAGAAAATGGTCCCCTAATTATGATCTCTAGACAGAGAAGAGGCTTTTCAGGGGCCTGGGCCCTCCAGGGCAAGGAACCCAGATGCTGGGGATGGGAGATGGAGGATATGCTTCTCCGTATCATGTCCAGCCAAGGAGAAGGCCACTACATCACTAGGATGCTAAATAAAACATAGTCCCCCAGACCAAGATCTGCCCCCCCACCCTGACCCCATATACACACACATTGTGTATTTTGTCCCAGATGCTATTCCTAGTTATGGTTCTGCCTGTATCAAACCAACATGCATTTACCTAATATATACTGGCCATAGGACCAAGGACATCGACTAAAAATTGTGTCTACAGTGATAGGACCATACTAAGAAATCTACATTTTCTTAGCTTGTCTTTTAAGGTGGAGAGGGGGAGGCAGGGAAGCTAGGGAGGTCAGGGCTCAGGTGGGAAGCAGTAAAGACAGCTCAGAGCTGAGATCAGGGGTTTTTGTCTTAAAAACCACTGACTTGGTCAGAATATGTCGGATAACTGATACATATGTCCTATTCTCATGGAGTATCTAGTCTGAAAAGAAAAAACAGCCCTTGCCCTTAGGAACCTCTGGATGTGACAGGAGGAAGGCCAAAGATCCAAGAAACTCCTATAATCAGGAGTGAGATTCTGGGGCTTAGACAAGTCTGGAGGACAGCAGAGAAGGGAAAAATCAAGTCTGATCTTCCTGAACTAGGTGGCACTTGAACTATGCTTTGAAGGCTCAGACTCCCCTCTTTCCAAGTTGGCTTAGTCCTCAAATTCAGAGTTTCAGCCCTAAAGGGAAAAAAGGTACACTAAGAGCCCCAACCACTGGAACTCTGACACCTTTTGGTCTCCAGAACTAATCTATTCTTTTCCTAGTTCTTCTGCCCTCAAAGAGAATAAGGTGCCTGGGCTATCTCAGACTTCCTTGGGGATGGGGTGGGGATGAAGTCTGCTTTTTCACACATTTCAGCTTCAAAGCTTGGCATTCTTAAAGGGTCATTTTACCACACCCACGTTCACCAGTCTGCTCCTCCCTCCAAGTCTGCTAACCTTAACCACCCAGAACAACCAAGTCCCCCTCAGGTCATACATTCTTTCCTGAGGTCACCTCTTCCTCAATAATGTTTTCCTCCCTTTGCCCACAGAGTCTAACCCAAACCACAGCGCCACCACCCTCACCCCAGGGACTCTACTGTGATATGTATCTCCCTTCCTCTCCCACGTAAGCCCCCTAAACCCCATTTCTACTAGTTTTCCCCAGCGTCCCCTCCAAATCCAGAAATTATTCTATAAGGACGTCCCCTTTTCCTGGACCAGATCTCCTTTCCTCTTCTTAATTCTCAAATCCCTCCCTTTTCATCCTCAGGGTCATAGTTTCTGGGATCACTCCCTCTTTGTATAAAAGATTCCTCTTTCCCCCAACCCTCCTGAAAAACACCTTTCTGTCCCACCGGAATTCCCTAGGAATACATGACTGTCCCTCCTCCGAGGATCCCAACCTGTGCCATTAGGGGTAGGAGATAGGTACTTCTTCGTCCTGCTCCTAAGTCTTCGCTTTCTTCAGGATGGGAATTCCGGAGCTGACATCTGCTCACCCCACAGCCTTTCTCTACAGTGGCATCTCTGTCACTGTAGTACAGTGTCACTGTAGTGACCCACTGAGTGCGTGCCCCCACTCGCCTCCAGGATCACGCTTATCTGTCACCCCAGGCCTTTCTTCCTGTCCTCCTAGTTCCACTCCAAGTGGCCCCCTCCAATCTCCAGGGACCTCCTGGTCTGTGCACCGCCCTGTCCCAACTCCGATGCCCCTACTCGGCGCCTTCCTACCCTCCACCCCCTCCCCCTCCCCAGGGCTGCCACTCACAAGCCTCCACCAGGTCCAAGAACAGAGCCTTCTGCCTCCGGTCCCGCTGCTGCAGCTGGCGAATAATGTGCAGCTTCCAGCGGCAAGGGGAGGCAGGCGGCGAGCCTGGGGCGAGAGCCCCGGGTCCTGGCATGGCGGCTCCCTCCGCCCGCCCAGCGGCCACAAAAGCTTCGCGGCACCAAGGCCTGAGGGACCGGGGCGGAACCTGCGCGGGGAACTCCTCGTAGCGTCACCAGGGAGGCAGGGCCTCGGGATGGGGAAAGCCTCGGAATGTTCCATCCTTCGGAAGGCGGGGGGAACAGGTGTAGGAAGGTGGCAAGAAGCCGCAGCTGCGGGGGTTAGAAGAGAGAGTCCGGCCACACCCGTTCATCGTTCATCACTATCCACCCTTCCCCCTTCAAAAACGCTAGGCCTGCCGGACAGGGCCGCCCCGCTAGTGAGGCTCTAGAGTAGGTTCTCCCTACCCCTGAGATAGTACAAGTCCTTACCTTCGGGGAGGCGGCTCCGGCTTATGTTTAACCCTGTAGCTCCCACACCAGATGTTGCAAAAGTCTAAAGGCTGATAGACTTAGAGCAGGAAGGGACCTCAAATGTCCCATAGTCTTCCTCCCTCATTTTGCATGTGAGAAGGCTTCAAATCTGAGAAGTTAGGTGACTTGCCCGAGGTCACACACGGTGCCCAAGGTAGAGCAGAAATTCAAACCCCCGTAGGGTTGGGGGGGGAGGGAAGCTAACATTGTGTAATATTTTAATCTCCTTTAGTCCTCACAACAACCCTGGGAAGTAGGTGCTATTATTATCCCCATTCTTCAGCTGTGAAGAAACTGAGGCAAAAGAGGTTAAGTGACTTGCCCAGAGTCACACAGCTAGTAAGTGTCTGAGGTTGGATTTGAATTCAGGTCTTCTTGAGTCCAAGCCCAGGGCACCATCCACTGCACCATCCTATTGCCATACTGTTTTTTATTGCTGTTTGTTTGTCCTTAGTTTTTCAAGGGGACCAATGACATCTTGCTCATCAATTGGACTTAAGTTCAACAGAGCTGCACAAAGTTGTCAGCCCCACTCTCTCTTCCAGAGTCATCAAAGTCCAGTGGCAGCACTGTCAGGATGACTGGCAATGGCCTGGGATGCACTGGATGACCTTGGCATCTTCTATGTCTGACCAAGCTCTAAGCGCTCCACAGCACCTGCCTTCATGGCTATTGGGACAAACTGTCCTCATTCACGAATTCTGTCGTCACATGCTTGGGGTAGCTGTTTTTATTATTGTTGTGGTAACTACACTCAGCATGCTCAGCTTAGCAGGGTGAGGAGCTCTCTCGTCTCCCCTTCCCACTGGAGGAACCCCACCTCTGGAGCCATACCCAGCAGCGGTCTTCTATTTCTGTTGGAGTGCCTGGCCTCTGCTTTTCAGAGAAAGAAAGATTTATTTGCCACAAGAGTAGGCGTTCAGTCCAGAGTCCTGGGAAGCCTTGGTCAGGCTCTTTTTCCAAAACTGTGGCTCTTTCTGACTCCACTCAAAGGTGAGGTTGGACCCATGTGCAAAAGGAAGCATGGAAAGGTATTCAATATACACTATATATCAGGTCTTGGACAGCTATTTATTTCTTCTACCCAAAAGAAATGCTTAATGCAAAGGACTCACAAGCATGCATTAACAATGACTTAACCCAGCAGCAGTAACTTACTACTATGGAGGCCTAAACTTAAAACACCAAAACATGAAGCATTTTCAGCAGGACAGCTCCACTCTACATTATCTCCCTCAGAGTTCATGTCTCCTGGAAAGCCGAGTCAAGGGTTGGGAGCCTCCTATCTGTGGTCATAACCCCCAAGAAACAGTGGAGTACCTGTAGGGCCACCTCTCATAGTTCAGATGGTGCTGCCCGAGGAACCCAAGAGCTTCCAAGTGCTCTAACGCATGATGTTGCCTCCGAGGCTGGAGACTTCCATCTCCAGATCTCTGTTCAGTCACCTATGCTAAGAGAAAGAAACACAGAAGAGATGTCAGGGCTTTGAAAGTCAATCTCAGGCTCACTTAAGCCAGCACTGTTGGCCAGCATAGGTGAGCAGTCTGCCATTTATGCTAGGGTGCCCCTCCTCCACCTTTCATGGGTGCAGAGTCTGCTACGCCACTCTGCTGGCTGGCCTACTTACCACACCGACTTTTCTGGCTCTCCTAGCCTCAAGGTCTTCGGACGCCTCCAGATGATGTCCAGCCCTGTCCTCTTACGTCCTCTTGACTGGAACAGAGTTTTGTTCTTTAGACCAGCTACACAACACGGTCAACAGTTCTCAACAATTCATCCGACACAGCAGACTTAGTTGTACAGGTATTTTATTGCCTTCCGATTACATATCTTGGGTTGACCTCCTTCCCGGCTCGGATCCCCGAGCCGCAAGCCAAGGCTAAGAGGCTTGCCAAACAAAGGAAGCAAGACCCCCTACCTCCTGTTCCACACCCTAATAAGCCCTTCTACTGGGTCCTCCTACTGTGTAGGCATGTCCGGAGGATCCAAACCCCGTTAACGATGCAGGCTCAATACTCCAAGCCAAGCCAGGCACCTACGTGGCAAAAGAACACAGTCCACCAATGTCCACTGTCCACCACGTGGCAAGGCTGAGCAGAGTCCACATCCGGGCATCTCTAACTCTCGTGACACACTCTACCCCCAGGACCCAACACATGGGAAATCCCTAAGAGAAAGAAAGAGTTAGCTGTTTGCCACAAGTTCTGAAGAGCTGAAGGAGGGAGAGGCATATATACAGGGCGGACCTTTAAAGTCTATTGAGCGGGTGGTTCTTCCTGTTTCAGTGGCCAGTCCTCTTTGATGCAACTTGCTATCCTCCTAGAGACCAAGGAACCACCCAGGACTGGCTTTTATCAACCCAAAGTGCCAAGTCCTTCAGTTCAGAGCACTTGTCCCTAGGCCCCAGCCTAGGTGTTACTAGAAGTAGCCAGAGTTCCAGGCCTACCCCATATATGCTCCATGGGATGGCCACTGTCGCACTGTTCTTATTTTTCTGAATGAATCAATCCCTGCACAAGTTTGCACAAGGCTTTCACACACATTGCTTCAAGAAAAGCAAGTGGGGCATAGTGGATGGAGTGATGGAGAGCTGGACTTAGAGTCAGGGAGGCATACATTTGAATCTTGCCTCTGACACTAATTTGCAGTGTGACCATGGGCAAGTCATTAAATTTATTTTTTTCTACTTGATAGTATTTTATTTTTCTAATTACATGTAAAGATAGTTTTCAACATTCACTTTTATAAGATTTTGAGTTCCAAATTTTTTTCTCTCTCTCCTTCCCCCTCTCCAAGATGGCAAGCGATCTGATATAAGCTATACATGTACAATCATATTAACCATATTTCTACATTAGTCATGTTGTGAAAAAAAGAATCAGAACAAAAGGGAAAAACCATGAGAAAGAAAAAAAGAGAGAAAATAATATGCTTTCATCTGCATTCAGATTCCATAGTTCTTTGTCTGGATATGGATAGCATTCTCCATCATGAGTCTTTGGAAATTGGTCTATGTTTTCTTTCACAACATGACTATTATGGATATGTTTTGCATGACTACACAAATAGAACCTATATTGAAGTTCTTGCCTTCTCAGTGAGGGGGGGGGGAATCAGGAGGGAGGGAAAGAATTTGGAACTCAAAGTTTTAAGAACAAATGTTAAAAATTGTTTTTACATGTAACTGGGGAAAGATAAAATACTAAATTTTTTTGTAATGTAAGAACTGCTTTATTTTAATAATTATATAAGACAAATACTTTGTTTATAGTGGCATTCACTTCTGTTAAAGTTGTGTGTGTGTGTGTGTGTGTGTATGTATGTAAGATAATAATCTGATCTGTTAAGACCTGTGTTTATGTCACAGGGTGAATTAGATTTTCTCCACTCCTAACCCTTTTCCATGTCTTCTTATCCTGGAAAAGATGGAACTTGTTTTCAGCCAGGCTTCAGGCTGCTTTAGATGGCCATCTCCATTTTAATAGCTGGGTGAGGGTTATAGTCTTCAATCAGGAAGTCCTCAGCCTTGAAATCATCAATGGCTTTGACTTCTCGAAGAATTCTGAGCTTAGGGAAAGGTCTTGGTTCTCGCTGAAGCTGAATTTTCAGTGGCCCAATATGATTCAAGTATATATGAGCATCTCCCAGAGTGTGTACAAAATCACCTGGCTTCAGGCCTGTGACATGAGCAATCATGTAGGTTAGCAGGGAGTAACTGGCAATGTTGAACGGCACCCCAAGGCCCATATCTCCAGATCGCTGGTATAGCTGACAAGAAAGCTCACCATTCAATACATAGAACTGACAGAGAGCGTGGCATGGAGGTAATGCCATCAGAGGAAGATCTTTAGGATTCCAAGCACACATAATGATCCTTCTGTCATGAGGATTGGTTTTGATTGTGTCAATGACTTTTTGTAGTTGATCCACTCCTTGTCCAGAATAATCTGTATTCATCTCTTTGTATTCTGCCCCAAAATGTCTCCACTGGAAGCCATACACTGGTCCCAAATCTCCTTCCTCTCTGGTAGTGAACCCCTGCTTGTCCAAAAAGTCTCGAGATCCATTGGCGTCCCAGATTTTTACTCCTTTGGCAGAGAGCTCCTTAGCATTTGTGGAACCCTTAATAAACCACAGCAGCTCCTCCAGCACACCCTTCCAGAACACACGCTTGGTTGTCAGCAAAGGAAACTCATCTCGGAGGTTGTAGCGGGCTTGCAAGCCAAACACAGACACGGTGCCGGTGCCCGTGCGGTCCTCCTTCTTGCAGCCATGCTGCAGGATGTGCTCGATCTGCTCCAGATACTGCTTCTCCCCATGCAGTCCAGGCAGAGGGCTGGGGCTGGGGCTGGGGTCGGAGCCCCAGCTGGCGGCGGCGGCTACAGCAGCGTCCTGTGGCTCAGCTCTCCGCTCCGGGCCCAGCTGGCTCTGCAGCTTGGAGCCTGCGGCAGGCATGGCTACAGCTCGGGGAAAGAGAGAAGAGCGGGAGGAAAGCGGTGAAGCCTAAAATAACTAAATTAAAATGAGCATAGAAAGCAAAAAAAAAAAAAGAATAATTTCAAGTTGGACCCGCCTTTATATAGAAGGCAATCCTTCTATACCTCCCTAATCCATTCATTATGTTTGTCACTGTAACAGCTATTTCCAAATCTTTCCATCATTTCTCAAACTACCCATGATACCTCTGCCACAGTGTCACTGGACCATGGAATATGGAGAGGGGACTAAGAAGACTGGAAAAGTAGAAAGAGCCACGTGTGGCTTTAAGGCCGCAGGTTCCCTAACCCCTGGGCTCAGCTGTAAAGGGCTCTAAAAGCCAAGCACAAGATTTTGTATTTAGTCCTGGAAGTGATAGGGAGCTCAGATCAGCTAAGGACCTTGTCTCTAACTTCACCAAAACAACTGAGGCTGTTCACCAAGAACTCCCTCTTCTCCCCTTCTCTTCAGGTCACACCACTTAGTTGTCTTTCCCGGCTCTGTCCTTGTCTTGCCCAGAGGTGGACCCTCTCCTCCCCAAGGCCAACCCTTCTACACACACAAGTGCTGCCATTCCATCCCACCTTCTCCCCTGTCATTGCCACCATCTTAAACTATCTTTGATGGTTCCCCCTCTAACGGCTATTTCCATGTTACTCATTTCTTCCTCATTCTCAAAAAAAACTCTCACTGGATCAGTCCATCCCTACTAGCTATAATTCCAAATGTCTCTGACTTTTCATGACTAAACTTGAAAAGGTCATCCACATCCACTTCCTTTCCTCTCACATTCTTCTTAATTCTGCCTTCTGGCTTCTAACCTCATTCCATTGAAACGGCTCTCTCTGAAGTTACCAATGATCTCTTAGCCGCCAGATCTAATGGCTTTTTCTCAGTCCTCATCCTTCTTTACCTCTCTGCAGGCTTTGATACTGTCAATCCTCCTCCTTGCTATTTTCTCTTCTCTAAGTTTTTGTGACATTACTCTCTCCTCCCACCTGACTGCTCTATCTCTATTTTGTTTACTGGATCTTTCTCTGTGTCATGCCCACTGACCCAAAGGGTACATCCCTGGCCCTCTTCTCTTTTCCCTCTCTACTATCTTGCTTGGTGATCTCATCGGTTTCCATGAGGTCAGTTATTATCTTCATGCTGATGGTCCTCAAATCTATTTATCCATTCCTAACCTTTCTCTTTACCTCCAGTCTCACATTTGTTGTTTTGTTGAGGTTCAGTAATGTCCAACTCTTCTTGACTCGATTTGGGCTTCTCTTGGCAAAGATATTGGAGTGGTTTGCCATTTCCTTCTCCAGATCATTTTACAGATGAAGAAACCGAGGCAGACAGGGTTAAGTAGCTTGCCCAGGATCACACGGTGTCTGAGGTCAGATTTGAACACAGGAAGAAGAGTCCTCCTGACTCCAGGTCTGGCACTCTATCCACTGTGCCACCTAGCTGCCTATTTGCCCATGTCTCACATTCCCAACTCTCTACTGGACGTCCTGTAGATATCTAGAAATCAACATGGCCATAACAGAACTCATCTTTTCCCCCAAACTCTCCCATCTTCCGAACTTTCCCATTACCACAGAAGGTACCACCCACCTCCTAGTCACCTAGGCCTGACACCTTGGCGTCATCTTCTACTCTTTACTCAAACTCACCCCACATATACAATCTATTACCAAATCCCCCTCTCTCCATTCACACAGCTTCAGTCCCTTCTTACCTCATGCCTCAACTACTGCAAAACAGATTGCTGGTCAGTGTCCTCAACTCAAGTTTCTCCCCACTCCATTCTGTCCTCTACTCAGCTCCACATAATCTTCCTATAGATCAATGTTATCTTCCTAAAGTGAAGGTATGACCATGTCACTGCTGGAGGCAGTTTAAATGGCTTAGGAGAGCTGATTGTCAGATTTTCAGTGTGAGAAGTTACACCTCAGAAATTTGGGCTGGATTTGTTGTTCTGTTCATTGTCTACACTTAAGAAAGTGACGAAGAAAATGATAATAATGGAAATTGAATTTAAAAATGTGTCCTGCATACAGTTTTTTCCCCCCCAGAGAGCTGGTCGTTAAACATTTACCAGTATACGCCAGTAGCTCCCTATTACTTCCAGGACTAAATATAAAATCTTGTGTTTGGCTTTTAGAGCCCTTTACAGCTTAGCCAGTCTTCTTAGAGCCCTCCCTATACTCTATGGTCCAGTGATACTGGTCTTCTTGTTCCTTGAATGCAATGCTCCAACTCCTGACATGGCCTTTTCACTGGCTGTCTCTCATGCCTGGGATGCTCTTTTTCCTCACCTCTGCCTCCTGGATTCCTAATTTCCTTCAGGACTTAGCTAAAATCCCACCTTCTGCAATAGGCCTTTCCTGCTCCCCAACCCTTACTCCATGCCTTCCCTGAGATTGCCACCCATTTATCCTGTACATGTCTTATATGTGCATAATTGTATATGTGCGGTCTCCACGGATTGTGTTTCTGCTTTCCTATGTATCTTCAGCACTTATTACAGTGCCTAGCACACAGTTGGAGCTTAATAAATGCTTCTTGACTATGGGTTGAAGCATTCCTTCTCACTGGAAGTCTCCAAACAAAAGTCAGAAGAATTTTGTCAGATATGTTGTAAAGAGGAATTATTTTTCACATTCAGGGCCCTTTCAATTCTGAGATTCTATGACTCCAAGGGAAAAGAATAGGCAGCTCTTTGCAAATTATATTCCATAGCTGGGGCAGCTAAGTGGTCCAGTGGATACAGCACCAAGATTTGGGTCAGAAAGTTCTGAGTTCAAATCTGACCTCCGACATTTACTAGTTGTATGACCCTGGGAAAGTCACCTACCTTCTGTTTGCCTGAGTTTCCTCATCTGTAAAGTGGTGGTAATAGTCACCTACCTCACAGGGTTGGGTAAAGATCAAATGAGGAAGTACTTGTAAAGTGCTTAGCACAGTGCCTGGCACATAGTATGCTGTATATAAATGTTAGTTATTAGTAGTAGTAGGCCACATATGCACAATCACAAAACTGACTAAAGATGTAGAAAATACAGGATCCCACTGTCTGTATTGTTTGTTGAGTATAGAGAAGACATTTCATTCTGCAAAGGCTCTCTCTCCCATACTCATGTTAAAATCACAGAAAAGTCCTTGAAAGATGTAATGACAGATGTAATAACTGTGTTTGGCCCTTCTCTGATTATTAATATCCTGTGAGGTATCAGGCAGCTGTTGGTCAAAGGTGTTTGACATCACCACGGAGACTGACCACAATAGAGTCCAAATGGAAAGAGGATTCCCACCTACAAGCAATCCCAGATGCTTCTGTTTATGGATAACATTGGAGGATTGTGTCAAGCCCTGCAAATTTGCATAGCCTCCTAAACAATATCCAAAATTTCTCTAAAAAATTTGACCTAACTACCCATAACCAAGAAAAGCAAGTGGACAAAGATTGTTTATTGAACCCATAGAGCTAGTTTGTTTGTGTCTGTGTGTGTGTGTGTGTGTGTGTGTGTGTGTGTGTGTGTGTGTAGGGGAGTGGAAGGAGAGCTGGGCCTGGAGTTAGGAAAATCTGAGTTCAAATTCAGCCTCAGACATTTACATGTGTGTAGCTGTATGTCCCTGGGAAAGTCATTTAACCCCAACTGCCTCAGTTCCTCATCTGTAAAATGGGGATACATTGGGAAAGGAAATGGCAGACTACTCTAGTATCTTTGCCAAGAAAATACCACGGACAAATCCATGGGGTCACAAAGAGTTAGACATGCACAAACAATGTCAATACAACTAAGATTAGAAGGAAGGTAGAAAATTGGGAAAGAATTTTTACAACCAGTCTCTCTCATAAGGGCCTCATTTCTTTTTTTTTTCTCATTTCTAAAATATATAGAGAATTAAGACAAATTTACAAGAATACAAGTCATTCTCCAATTGATAAATGGTCAAAGGATATGAACAGGCAGTTCTCAGATGAAGAAATTAAAGCCATCTACAGTCATATTAAAAAATGCTCTAAATCACTATTGATTAAAGAAATGCAAATCAAAACAACTCTGAGGTACCACCTCACACCTATCAGATCGGCCAAGATGACAAAACAAGAAAATAATAAATGTTGGAGAAGATGTGGGAAAATTGGAACACTAATGCATTGCTGATGGAGTTGTGAAATGATCCAACCATTTTGGAGAGCAATTTGGAACTATGCCCAAAGTGCTATAAAAATGTGCATACACTTTGACCCAGCAATAGCTCTTCTAGGGCTATATCCCAGAGATCATACAAATGGGAATTTATACACATGTATAAAAATATTCACAGCAGCTCTTTTTGTGGTAGCTAAGAATTGGAAATTGAGGGGATGCCTATCAGTTGGGACTGGCTGAACAAGTTGTGGTTTCTGAATGTAATGGAATATTATTGTGCTATAAGAAACAATGAGGAGGTAGATTTCAGAAAAACCTGGAAAGATTTACAGGAACTGATGCTGAGTGAAGTGAGCAGAACCAGGAGAACCTTGTACACAGTAACAGCCACACTGTGTGATTAACTTTGATAGACTTAGCTCTTCTCAGCAATACAGTGATCTAAGACAATTTCCAAAGACTCGTGATGGAGAAGGCTATCCACATCCAAAGAAAGAACTATGGAATTTGAATGCAGATTGAAGCATACCATTTGCTATTTTTTTTTCTCTTCTGTTCAGTTTTGTTTCCTCTTTCTGGTGGTTCCTCCTATTGATTCTAATTTTTACAACATTACTAATGTGAAAATATGTTTAATAGGAATGTATATGTATAGCTTATATCAGATTGTGCGCCGTCTTGGGGAGGGTGGTGGGGAGGAAGGGGGGGAAAATTTTAAACTCAAAAGCTTATGGAAGTGATTGTTGACAAATCAAAATAACTTAATTTAAAAAAACAAAAAAACCAGTTAAGACACAACTGAACAACACACACGTATGTGTATACACACACACACACACACATACATATATACACACACATACTGATGGACTAACTCTATACTGAGAGAAATGATTATTAAATAACCACATTGGGGAAATCCAATGTTTTTTCCCTTCCTATCTCCCTATTCTCTTCTGGGTCAAGTCAGCATCTGAAGCACATTGCTAATAATGAGACTGGATTAATTTCCTCCTCAACCTTAATTTAGTTCAGACCCCACCCAAGTGGGGAAGCCACTGTGTTCTACTCAGGCTTGGGGGGTGGGAGGGTGAGTGGGTACATCCTTTTTCTAGATTTCCCAAGGCTGGGGGTGGTCTGGGAGTGAGAGTGATCAGAATTATGTCCCCCAGGCCCTCATTAGAACAGGTCCACCTCATTCGTAATATTCATTCTTCTCATTAATTGTTAACCAATCAGAGTTGACTGCCACCTTCAGGAACACCCACTCTTCCAAAGGCATATAAACACTGAGTGGGTTCCATGAGGGATCTTTGGCATTTGAGAGTGCCACTGACCCCTTTTATTAATTATCCACTAACACAATTAATAAAATGGTTAATGACATAAAAACTATGTCTCTAGAACTTTTTACACATCACAATATACATACGTACATATATATATATGTATATATATATGTATATATATATATATATATATATATATTATATATGTTGTTTTCAGCTGTGTCCAACTCTTCCTGACCCCATTTGGGGTTTTCCTGGAGATATTGGAGTGGATTGCCATTTCCTTCTCCAGCTCATTTTATAGATGAAGAAATTTGAGGGTAAAGTGACTTACCCAGGGTCATATGACTAGTAAGTGTCTAAGGTCAGATTTGAACTCAGAAACAGAAATCTTCCTGACTCCAGGCCAGGTACTCTATTCACTTTGCCACTTAGCTGTGCGCGCGCACACACACACACACACACACACACACACACACACACACACACAAACTGGTGAACTAACTCTATACACACATACGCATACACACATATATGTATGTACATATGTGTATACATATGTATATATGTATATGTGTGCCTGTATATTTATATTTATTTATGAAATACCCACTGTAATTAAATATTGATATGAGCCCAGAACTGAATAGCAGGAGGAGAGAGGTCTATGTTACCTTTGAGAAGAAGTACAGTGCTTTTAATGCCCTTAATTTCTCCCTGGACCAAAGGTATATCTTTTCAATATCAATATTCATTATATATAGCTACAAAACACGGAAACATGGAATATGACAGTCTGTAGAGAATTAAAGCTTTAGGTTAACCAAAATGCAACGCAGAGGCACCTGGTGGGCAGGAGAAGTATTACAAATTACAATCACTGGCAAAAACATGATTCTTGCCCTCAGGGAACTCACATTCTAATAATGGAGACAATGCAACCTATAATGTACATACAAGATATATAGAGGATAAATAGGTGATAATATCAGAAGAAAGGCATGGAATAAGGAAGAGGGGGGGAAATGAAAGGCCTCTTCCAGAAGGTAGGGTTTTAGCTGAGTTTTGCAGGAAACCAGGGAAGGCAGGAGGCAGAGGTAAAAAGAGAGAACATTTCAAGCACAAGAGATAGACAGCAAAAGGCAGAAAGTCAGGAGTTTGGAGTGCCTTCAAGAAATGTCAGGAAGATGTAGCATGCCACTATAGCTATTACCAACAAAGAATTGCCAGAAGCTACATAAAGGATATCATCAGAGACACGTATGACTGGAAATATAAATGGGACAGTCCTATAGCAAGAATAAGGAGTAACCAAAGGACAGTCCATGCGCTCTACTGATCAGTTCTTCTTCCCTTTTGTTGATGAGTAAATTTAGTAATGTACCTTTTCCCCCAAGGACTGCTTTTGCTGTATCCCAAGTTTTGGTTTGTTACTTCATTGCTGTCATCTATGTTTTGTTGTTCAATTGTGTCCAGTTCTTCTTTGTGACCCCACTGGGGTTTTCTTGGCAAAGATACTGGTGTGATTTCCCATTTCCTTCTCCCACTCATTTACAGATGAAGAAACTGATGTAAACAGGGTTAAGTGACTTGTTCAGGGTCATACTTGCCAGTAAGTATCTGAGGCTAGATTTGAACTCAGGAAGAGGAGTCTTCCTGACACCAGGCCCAGCACTCTATTCATTTTTTTGCCTAGCTGCCCTTGTTGTCATCTTCCGTGAAATTGTCTATTGTTCCTATGAACAAATTCTTTGAACTATCAATTCTTTAGGATTACTTTATTTATTCTCCAATTAATTTTTAATATTCTCTAAGGATCTTTTATTAAATATAATTTATAGTGTGTTGTGGTCAATAAAATACATGTTTAATATGTCTGCTGTTCAGCATTTGTTTGCAACAATAATAATAGCTACCATTTATGTAGCACTCTAAAGTCTGCAGAATGCATTGCATATGTTATCTCACTCCATCCTCACTTAAGCCCTACTACATGGTCAAGTTTAATAAAGGTGCCATTCACAGCTTACAAATATGTATACTCCTTTCTATTCCCATTTAGTAACTACAACATTCCACAAGGTTGACCATCTTCTCTAAGCTTTTGTGACACTGCTCTTTCAAATGTTCTCCTCATATCTGTCTAACCACTATGTCTCAGTCATCTTTGCTGTATCTTCATCTGTCATACCCACCAATTGTTGGTGTCCTACAATGCTTTACCCTGGGCCCTCTTCTCTTTTTTGCTGTATACTATGTTACTTATTGATCTAATCAACTCTCATGGCTCTAATTGTCATCTATGCAAATGATTCCTAGCCCTATAAATCTTAGCCCTAGTCTCTCCTAAGCACTAGTCTCACATCATCAACTGCCTTTTGGACATATACAACTGTCTATTCCATGTCTATTTCAAATTCAACAGGTCTAAAATAGAGCTCATTGTCTTTCCCCACAAACCCCCCCTTCTTCTGAAATTCCCTATTACTGTCAACCTTTGTGTCATATTCCACTCCTTACTCTCACTTACCCATATATCCAATCCATACTAGATCCAGTGATTTCTGCCTTCAGAACATCTATGTGTCCATGGCCCCCTACTCACATGGCCACCACCCCAGGTCAGACTGTCATGACCCTGGTCTACCTGATTTAAGTCTCTACTCACAGTTTTATAAGCTATAAGTTGCAAAGCAGGTGCCAGTGTGCATTAGCACGGGTAGTTTCTAGTCGGGGGTTCCCCAAATAACGAAGTCTCCTGCCCCATCCAACAGAAGTGACGTTACTGCGGTCAGTTCTACTTTCTGTACCCGTAGACTGGTGACGTCAGACTCGAATTCCCAGAAGGCTACGGGAACTCAGGGTGACAGCCATCTGAGCTTTTCGGGAATTGTAGTTGCTGCCCTGTTTTTCCCCCCCCCCCCCCGCCCCGGGACTGCGGAGACGGTTCGGTGGACTACGACTCCCAGAAGGCCATAGAAACTGGCTTGAGGGTAGGTTTAGGGAAGTCGCCGTAGGAGCGGCCTTGTCCACAGCACCCCACATCGTAGTTGGCAGCGGGTGCTAGTAGTATAAATGACATCGTGATGCCGTGGCTTCAGCACCTGTGGAGGGACTCCGAAGCACCTCAGGGCGGAGAGAGAGAGAGAGAGAGAGAGAGAGAGAGAGAGGGAGAGAGAGAGAGGGAGAGAGAGAGAGGAGAGAGAGAGAGAGAGAGAGAGAGAGAGAGAGAGAGAGAGAGAGAGACAGAGAGAGAGACAGAGACAGAGACAGAGACAGAGACAGAGACAGAGACAGAGACAGACGCGGCGCTTAAGTATGGGACGCGCACCCTTAGTTACCCGCGACGATCAACCTGTTCACACCAGCGTTGATTCGAAGTGGCCGGCAGGGGGCGCAGGCACAGTGTGACTCAAGGTGGACGGCCGGAGGCGCAGGCGCAGTGACTCGGGCTGCCGGGGCAGCCGTAGTGATCTAGAACGGGCTCAGAGTCGCAATTGGGAAACTCTGACAACGACGCATGCGCAGGAGTAAGCGCCCCTTATTAATGGCGATTATCTTCTTAATAGCATTGTAATTCCTTACACTTGACACTTTCCTAAAGAGCCTACCCTAATCCATTATCTTGACGCTCCCAGGAAAGAAAGCCTCAAGAGTTTATTTTCCGTGTCTTAAGGAGAAGGTAACTGGCCCAGAGACGGGAGCTCACCGACCCGAGGTCACACAGCGCAGCCTAGCCTGGAATTAAGGAATTCTGGGCCCTGCACTCCCTCGTGGGACGTGATCCAAGGCGCCTGTAGTGTTTTCCCGTGGGAAAGAGTGCTGATTTGCAGTCAGAGGACTTGGGTTCACATCCCCTCCTCTGGTTCTTAGGGGGCTGTCTAGGGGGCTTTTCTGGGACAGTATGACTCTTAGGACCTCAGGGGACCCTGGCACCTTTCCCTCCTGGCAAGGACCGAAATGCCAGGAAGTGTGTCCAAGAGACACCCCACAAAGTCAGAAAAAGCAGCGTCTGGTGTTGGAGGGGAAGGAGAATGACAACTCCTGCCCTCAGAGAGCTTCTAATCTAAGGGGGAGACCTCCTGAGCAAGGTGTCACAGGATCCGCCTTGGGATTGGGATGATAAGTAAATACTCAGACCATTTGGGGTACATAGTTTAGAAAAGACAGGATCCCCACCTTGAAGCAGCTGCCAGACTGGTAGAGGATGCAGAATGATAGATACGGGGTATTCCCTCTAGGTGATGCAGATTGCAGCCCATCCCCACATCAAGTATGACTCTTGCCCTGTCTCCCGATAAATTTGGCCCGGGGTGATTGCCCCACGTGCCAGGTGCCTGCCTCCCTCCTGTTCTTTTCATATTCTGTGTATACCAGTGGAGCCTGTGGATTATCTGTGGTTCCTCGGTATAGTTGGGCACTATTAAGGACTTAGGCCTGGGCCCCGGTGTTGTAGATTTGTGTCTGGCCCCTGGATTTATCTGGTCTAAATGACTGGTGGCACCCTTTTTATAACTTATCCTGTGTGATTTCTCACATACCTGAGCGCTTGATCGAGTTGCAAAGTGCTTGAAGAGATCGGAGGAGAAAGGTTATTTGTCATTTCGAGGAGGGTGAAGCTTTGGGGATTGCGAGTTGGGCTTTAAAAGAGATCACAAAAGGATGGCGGGCAGGGTATTCCAGAAATAGAGAACTGTGTAAGGGGGTGGGGAAGCACTCAGGGTGTTTAGGCGGTTCCTTTTTCCAATCTGTCTTCCAAATGGAAGATCAAAGCTGGGGTCTGACCGTATTGCTCCTTGCTTGAGAAATTTCAGTGACCCCCTCTGGCTCCTAGAATAAAATAGAAAATGCTGTTTTGGCATTTGTTGTTCAGTCGTTTTTTGGTTGTGTCTGACTGAAACTGGCACTGGAACCCCACAGTCTGGCTGAAGCCTCTCTTTCAATACTCATTACACGCTAACGTCCTTCAGGCACTTTGAGTGCGGCCAAATTGGCCTACCTTCTGCCTTCTCCAGTCCCTCCTGGTGCCAGGTGTGCCCTGACTCCCCCACCCCCTACTTCTGCATCTGTGAATCCTTGGCTTCCTTCCACGTCAGGCTCTAGGTAGAGCCCAGGCCCCAGAAGCCTTCTCTGATCCCCCTGGGGTTAGTGGCCTCTCCCACCCCCTCTGAAATACTGTGGCTATTTATCCTACCTCTCCCAGGAATATAAACTCCCTGAGGGCAGGAACTATTTAGGGCCTTGTTTGCGTTGTTGAGGTTGGCTGGACCAGTAATTTCTTTGGCGTGGGGAACTCCTGGTGAAGAAACTTCCTCAATCTCTGGGTTTGCAGTTGTTAAGCCTGACAATTTACCATCTTAGATAAAGATAAAGCAACTTACTCCACAACAGCCCCTTGAGGTGGATAGAAGCCTTAACTTCATTTTATAGATGTGGAAACAGGCTCAGAAAGGGGATCGAAGGGCTCTGTTTGTGTCAGGCAAGGCTTGAATCTGGCTGTTAATCATTCCACTTCTCTTCTGTCACTCTTACCTCTTCACCAAAACTGCCTCTCCAGAGGTACCGGTGATCTTTTAGTTGCCAAATCCAGTGGCCTTTTCTCAGTCCTTGTTCTCCTTGACCTCTCTGCAGCCTTTGACACTGTTGATCACTGTCTTCTCTAGGTTTTGGGGACCCCGCTCTCTCCTGGTTTGCCTCCTTGCCTATCTGACCACCCATTCTCTCTCTCTTTTACTGGGTCCTCCTCCATATCCTATCTTCTGACCACAGGTATCGCTCAGCGCTCTGTCCTGGGCTCTTATCTCTTTATGCTACTTCACTTGGTGATCTCATGGGCTCCCATGGATTTAATTGCCATCTTTCTGCTGATGATTCTCAATCCACCTATCCTCCCCACATCCAGTCTGTTGCCAAGGCCTGTCACAATCACAGGTTTGCAACATCTCTCTGAAACGTCCCCTTCTCTCCTCTGACAACACCACCACCACTCTAGTGCAGGCCCTAATCACCTCAGGCCTAGATTATCACAATAGCTGCTGGTGGGTCTGCCTGCCTACTCCCATCCATCCTCCATTCAGCCACCAAAGTGATTCTCCTTTAGAAGGTCTGACCCCGTCACAAGTTACCCTATCCTCCCCCACCCCCATTCAATAAACTCCTGTGGCTCCTTTCACCTCCAAGATCAAATTCAAAATTCTATTTAGCGTTCAAAGGTCTTCTTAACCCACCTCCCCCACCCCCACCCCCTATTCAGTGTTACACCTTTTTTCCCTCCACCTACTCTTCAGTCCTGTCACACTGGCCTCCATCTCTTGGCTCCAGGCATTTTCTCTGGGTATCCCCCATGCTTGGAATGCTCTCCCTTTTCATCCTCTGCCCCTGGCTTTCCTTTCAATTCCAAGTAAAATCTCATCAACCTTTCCCCACCTCTAGTGCCTTCCCTCTGCTAATTATGTAATTATATCCTGTTTTATCCTTTATATAGCTTGTTTGTACATATTTGTTTTTGTGCGCTCCTTAGGGCCAGGCCCTAGTGCTTTTTTTGATCCCTAGTACTTAACACAGTGCCTGGCACATAGTAGGCACTTTAAAGAAAGCTTACTGACTCGAAAATGCTTTGCCAACCTTAAATGCTATAGAAATGCTATTATTATTATTGTTCTTCCCTCTAAACCATGCACAGAACCAGGATTTCAGCCTTAAGACTTGCTTCAAGTTTCTGAAAGGTGAAACCTCCTTTCCCTTCCCATCCTGTTCCCCCTATTCCTTGCTCTTCTGCTTCTCCCCTGCACCATCAAGCAGTGATAGGCATATCTGTAAATGGACATCTATCCTCAGCCTAAATCTATCCTTGCAGAACTGAAAAAAAAAAAGCTGTGCTTGGAGAGGTAGGGTGATAGTGAAGAATTTGGGTAGGGTGGGAGTAAACTGTGGGCTCTCTTTGTTAGTGACTCATTGCTTAGAACACAGGTAAGGATGCCTTCCCAGTGAACAAAGCTACTACTGGACACTGTATGGGACTCCTGGGCTGAATTAATCAGCTTGGGGCTACAGTAAGAGGCGGCAGAGGATAAAAATACCAAGAGAGAAGCAGAGAGAGAAGCTCCCTGGAGGTGGGGCCTACAGCCAGATTCAGGCATGAGTCACCCACCCCATAACTAAATTTAGAACATGCTGAAGGAGGGACCTTCCTCCCCTTAAGAGCTATGGAGAGCTGAGAGATACTGATTGAGGTGTTGAAGGGCAAGCTAAAGGGGTCTTCAATGGTCATCTGAATCATCTGAGAGAAGAATGGGGGAAGGGCAAGGATAGAACTAGGAGTGGGGAAAACTAATAAATTGATCCCTAAGCCCAGAGCCCACACTGTGGTCTCAGCATGAGTCCTAAGCTCACACACAGACATGCCTTTGGTTACCAGGGGACTCAGAGAGTGAGAGAGGATGAACGACTTGGTGCAGCCCATCTGTACTGAACACCTGGTAAATCATCCCAAGCACTAGATTCATAGACTCACGGAATGTTAGAGCCAGAAGGGAATTTAGGTAGTCCAAGGGTTCTTAATCTGAGGTCTGTGTCTTTAAACATTTTTTTTGATAACTATTTTAATATAATTGGGTTTTTTTTGTAATCCTATGTACTTTATGCATTTTAAAACATTCTTCTGAGAAGGGGTCCCTAGATTTCACTGGACTGACCACTAAGAGGGGCCACCCCCACGAACAAGGTTAACAGCTTAAGTGACTTGCCGAGGGTTACACAGCCAGGATCAGAAGCAGCTCTCTCCTGATTCTGGGTCTTTCTACTTGACATGCCACATTGGGGGTGCTCATACTGCCTCAGTGTCCTGGGCAGGAGAGGGGTCAGGAGGCAGCCTCAACTGCTCCAGAAAAA